GCTGTTTTTCCCAGGCCATTAGCAGGGAGCTGGATCAGAAGTTGAGCTTCTGGAGCTTGAACTGGCACTCATATGGGATGCCAGTGTCACAGGCAGAAGCTTACCCACCACACCACAACACTGGTCCCTGCAACAAAGTTTACAAACTTTTTTAATCCTTTCAGGCACATGGGCCTGTGATGGGGGGAGGGGCACTTTTAAAGAGCTTACAGCCCTCAAGTCCTTTTTATTATGATGGCAAACATGGGGGCTTTGTGGTGCAGTTTGCCTACATCCCATATGGGCCCCAGTGTGAATCTCTAAGCAAATCTAGTTAGCATTCACACAGCACAATACCTTTAGCCGCTATGCCACAATGCCTGCTCCTCCCTTATTTTTTAGAATCTAAGACATACATAGGTCCTGGTATTACCAATTTTTTTCAGTCATGGGCTTATAGCTATAAGTTGACCAACTGGCCAAAATGCTCCTTAGGGGACTCAGATAATATTCAGCTGGTACCTCCATATTCAAAGACAAAACAGAACAAAAAAAGAAATGTGCCAGTCCCAAAGAAGCACAAATTTTATTGCACCAAGGCCACATGAGGCGTAAATTTTATTGAACCAAGTCAAATTTTCAGTTAGGAGTTCAGAAGAGCCAGAACCCAAAAGAGAAGGGAACAGAATCCCCAGCTCACAGCCCCCCTCCCCCACCCCAACAGAAGTTAATTAACAGTGCCACAGATGCCCCATGGAGGGCAGGGAAGTCATTCCTAACTGCCCCTCCCCCAGCAGTGGGGGAGTCTTGAGTGCACACCAGGCGACTTCCCCAGGTGGCCAGGCTGTTACTGCTGCTTCCAGAATCTCAAGGTGGCACCGGGACCACACCCTCACCGGGAGAGAGGGGGCGAGTCCCTTAGAAGCAAAGCAGTTCCAGCAGCTGCGGGGGCTGTCCCCACTCTCCCTTCTAGAAGACAGAGCCCCTGCTGCTGGAGGCTTCATAGCCACTTGGGGTGACCGCTCACTGCTCTAATAGCAGACTCCCCTGTGGGAAGTCGCAGCACGGTGCACACCACCACCACAGTGGCTGGCTAAACACCAGATTGGCTACCAGAAGCCCAGTCCTTTTCGATGGTGTTAAATCAGAGGAATGAGGCCAAGGTTTGAGGATGAAGGAGAGAAAAAGCGTAATCCATTTGTGGGTGCGGAGGGTAGTGTGGGGAACAACTCGGACTAGACTAAGTTACTGGAATTAAGACTTATTCTATGCATCTGCTCTCCCACAGTATGGCGCTGGGAGAGGAGTGAACAGCTTCTATGCAGCTGCCTCCAGTTCGACCAATAAACTGCAGGAGCTGCTCCTGATTGGAGGAGAGCAGCATGCTCGGCGTATGGGTAGCAGAGTTGGGATTGGTGGAGAGGACTATAAAGGAGGAGAGAGACAACATGCACCAGGTACATCCGGATAACATCTGAGCAGCCCCCGAGAGAGCCGGCCAGCGGTGTGCCGCTCCCCCGCGGAAGTGGGGAAAGTGGCAGGGGGAGCCGCCCCTCCACGGAGGTGGAGGGACGGCAGTCAACCGGGAAGGACCAGCAGAAGAAAGAACAGCGCAGGGTCCTGTGTCGTTCCTCCACGAAGAGGGGGAGCGACATAATGGTGCCGTGACTCGGATATGAAGCCTAGGAGAGATAATGGTGCCGTGACTCGGATAGGAAACCTAGGAGGGAAGAAGTGGGAAAATACCGGAGAGGGAGACTAGCAAAGAGCCTAGGGAAAAGCCGGACGGAAAAAGTGCCGGAAGAAATCTAGGGGTGAAAGTGAAAGTGAAAGCTAGAAGAAACTTAGACTCGGATATGGACTGTGGGGAGAAGCCAGGAGAAATGAGAGAAATATTGTTGGAAGAAACTTAGGAAAAGTACCGGGTAGAGAAAGATATAAGCTAGGGAAAGTGAAGCCGCGGGGGCAGGCTGAAGCGGAGACGTAAGCTAGGTTGGGATTCGTCAAGTCAGCCCGGGGAGCAAAAGGCGAAAAACTAAAACCAGAAGCGGAGACGTAAGCTAGGTTGGGATCCGTCAGATTAGCCCGGGGAGCAAAAGACGGGAAGCCAAACCGGGAGCGGAGACGTAAGCTAGGTTGGAATCCATCAGATTAGCCCGGGGAGCAAAAGACGGGAAGCCAAACCGGGAGCGGAGACGTAAGCTAGGTTGGAATTCGTCAGGTTAGCCCGGGGAACTTAGACTGAAAACCGAGAAGCGGAAACGTGAGCTAGGCTGTGATTCGCGGAAGCCGCCGCGCGCAGAGAAAGCGCGTGGGGCACAAGCGGAGAGAGCGCACTGGGCGCTAGTAGATAGGGAGCGCGGGGCTAGCGCGGAGGCTGTGGGGCGGGCGCGAAAAGGCGTGGAGACCGCGGAGCGCGCGCAAAGCCGGGAAGCCCCCGCAGATGAGAGAAGCGTGGGCTGAAGCCGCGAAGAGCCGAGAAGCCACCTCCGGGCGGGTGCCGGGAAGCCGCGGGGATAAGAGAAACAGAAGTATAGAAGTAAAATGAGAGAAATAGGAATGCTGGCAGATAGAAGTAAAATAAGAGAAATAGGAATGCCCGGAGATAGAGAAATAGAGAAAAATAAGGCCTCCCCACAACACGGCAATGAGAAGGCTTGGATTCGGTCTGCCTGATTAGACGATAAGCACCAGCAGGCAGCTCGAGCAGAATATCCGCTGCAGGTCACTGAAGACAGGCACGTTATCAACACCAATAAGTCTCCCCACAATACGGCAATGAGAAGGCTTGGATTCGGTCTGCCTGATTAGTAAGCCGATAAGCACCTGCAGGCAGTTCTAGCAGAGCATGCGCTGCAGGGCACCGAACACAGGCATGCATCAGTGCCTAAAAACCTCCTCACAACATGGCGAAGAGAGGACCCGGATTTGGTTTGCCTGATTGGTAGGGCTTGTAAGCACCTGTGGGCAACTCTAGCAAGCAGAGCAGAGTGTGTGCCGCGGGGCACCGAAGACAGGCGCGTATCAACGCCAAAGAATAAAAAGAAAGGGGGAATTGTGGGGAGCAACTCGGACTAGACTAAGTTACTGGAATTAAGACTTATTCTATGCATCTGCTTTCCCACAATATGGCGCTGGGAGAGGAGTAAACAACTTCTACACAGCTGCCTCTTGCCAATTTGACTGATGAGCTGCAGGAGCTGATCTTGCTCCTGATTGGAGGAGAGCAGCGTGCTCGGCGTATGGATAGCAGAGTTGGGATTGGTGGAGAGGACTATAAAGGAGGAGAGAGACAACATGTACCAGGAACAACCGGATAACATCTGAGCAGCCCCCCAGAGAGCCGGCCGGTGGTGTGCCACTCCCCCGCGGAAGTGGGGAAAGTGGCAGGGGGAGCCACCCCTCTACGGAGGTGGAGGGACGGCAGCCAACCCAGGAAGGACCAGCAGCAAACCCGGGGAGGACCGAGCAGACAAAAGAACAGCGCAGGGTCCTGTGTCGTTCCTCCATGAAGAGGGGGAGTGACAGGTAGCAGACTTGGGTCTGAAGAACTATTGTCTTGTTCAGTGAAGGCCGTCTGGGGGCCTTTTTTTTTTTTTTTTTTTTTTGACAGGCAGAGTGGACAGTGAGAGAGAGAGACAGAGAGAAAGGTCTTCCTTTTCCCGTTGGTTCACCCCACAATGGCCACTGCGGCCGGTGCACTGGCGCACCGCGCTGATCCAAAGCCAGGAGCCAGGTGCTTCCCCTGGTCTCCCATGCGGGTGCAGGACCCCAGCACTTAGACCATCCTCCACTGCTGGACTGGGAATCCACCACTCAGGACAGAATCCAGCTCCCCGAGCGGGACTAGAACCCAGGGTGCTGACGCCACAGGCGGAGGATTAGCCTAGTGAGCCGCAGAGCCGGCTGGTCTGGGGGCTTTTAAGGAGTGCAAAGGGGAGTGTGGGCTGTTGAGGACGTGACTAATGGCAAGTCAGGAGTGGGTGTGTGCTGAAGACACTTGTGGGTCTGACAACAGGGTATTTTATCAATCTCAAGTCGATGCAATCCTTGAGAAAATTGCTTGGCTTTAATTCGAGGAGGTCACAGCAAGATGGTCTGCACAACTACGCAGGTGCAAAACGTTATTTGACTGGAAGCTGAAAGAGAAAACGGATTGTGTTTCATCAACCAGCATGAGGCCCGCTGAGCCTACAGCCTCTGCTTGTTGCGTCCTCACTTATTTGTACCCCGTACTCCCCGTTACAGCAAACCCAGTCCTCTGGGCATGCCGACTGAGGAGGGCAGGACACTGCGACTTCAGCTTGCTACCCCAGGGCCCGCTTCTGGAAATTCTCAAACAAGTGCTATTTGTTAAATTGAACAGATGCTCTAGTCAGTCGTAGGTTCAGTAGCTAGCTTTTGATCATCAGAAAGTAAGAAGAGGCCGGCGCCACGGCTCAATAGGCTAATCCTCCTCCTGCGGCGCCGGCATCCCGGGTTCCAGTCCCAGTCGGGTAGCCGGATTCTGTCCCGGTTGCCCCTCTTCCAGGCCAGCTCTCTGCTGTGGCCCGGGAGTGCAGTGAAGGATGGCCCAAGTGCTTGGGCCCTGCACCTGCATGGGAGACCAGGAGAAGCACCTGGCTTCTGGCTTCGGATCAGCGCAGTGCGCCGGCAGCACCACGGTGGCCATTGGAGGGTGAACCAACGGCAGAGGAAGACCTTTCTGTCTCTCTCACTGTCCACTCTGCCTGTCAAAAAAAAAAAAAAAAGTAAGAAGAAAAATAAAAGATATTTTCGGTACAGTTACATCACCTTCTTTCCAGGCTCATCGACTAACTCCCATGCTTGGTTCTGGGGGGTCACCTCACAGACGAACCCTCCCTGAACCCCATCCTTGTCTCAGATTCTGCTTTGAGGAGGAAACAAACCAGACCACCACCACCACCCCGTTCTGTCAGTCTTTGTCTAGGAAGAGCGCGTCTCCCCTCCTGTCGCTTCTCCCGCCACGTTCACCTTTCTCTCCATTTGTGCACCTGTTGGCCTCGCTGGAGAGCCGAGGGTCGCCCCCCGCAGGTGGGCTGTGGCCGCGACTGCTCCTCCCGCCCGCAGGGGGCGCTGTGGGGAGGCGCGCCTGCGCTCCCGACCGCGGCGACCCAGCACGCGCCCCGCAGCGTTGGCGCGGGGTTTGCGGGAAAGACCTGGAGGTCGGCGGAGCCGCGGACCGAGGGGCTGGAGCTGGGCGGGAGCGCCGGGGCCATGGCCGAGCGGGCTCGGGTAAGGCGGGCTGCCGCGCGCGGACGCGCGGTGTCGGGGCTCGGGTCGGGGGAACGCATCCTGCGGGTCCTCGTGGGCGGGTGGGCTAGGGCTGAGTCGGGGTCGCCTGGGTGCCGGGTGTCGGGTCTAGGCCCAAAAGGGAGTCCTTGGCCGAACCACGGAACAAAGCCGAGCGTGGACGCTGGCCGGGGAGAGACCCCGCGGGCGGAGCCGACGGGGGAAGGCACGGATGCGAGGGCGGGTGGCCGCGCCTCCGCGGTCCGTCCTGGCACGGTGCGAAGATCCCAGGCTCTGAGCGCTGGAGCTTGGATGTCAGAATTCGGCGGCTCGCGGGAGGGTGCAGGGAAAGAGGACGTAAAACCCAACTGGGGGTGCCGGTTGATGGTTTAGGGTTTGTTGAAACCGGAGTTCAGAGGGCGTGGCTGATTTTCATGTGTTCTTTATGCGCCTTTCCATTAGGCACGTTTGCTGTTAAGTGAATTAATGAGATCATAAATTTGACAATGACCTGTATGATCGCAACACAAAACATAACGTTCCAGGATTGAATCTACAAAAGAGATGCAGGACCTTGATAGAGACAATTGTGAATAAATGGGGGATATGCCATGGCCATAGACGGAAGGACTAGTAAAGATGCTATTAAATTCAAGTGACAATATGATTTGTGTGAGCTTAAACAGATTCTAAAATTCATTTGAAAAAATTACAGTAGCCCCTCCCCCCCGCAATCCACAGCAAATAGTAAGAACCTTGTAATTCAATACCATTTTCATCTTAACTGAGCATTTATCATGTAATGTGGCACAACTTTTGAGGTAGGATAACAACCCTACACCGATTTCTTTCTCCTGCTCACAATTTCACAGACGATTCATTGTTATTGTAGATCTTAGCAATGTCAGCAGGACAAATTTTTTATCAGATGAATTTTCTTTCACATTACAGCTTCTCTTTGCCAAATCCGAAGTGACAGCATTACCACTCTAGTGCTTTGGGCCATTGTTAGTAAGACAAAGTTACTTGACCACAAGCGCTGCAGTGTTGGGACAGTTGACTTTATAAACAAAAAGGCGACTGAGTGACTGCGAGGCAGGTAGCATATACAGTGAGGATTCCCTGGACCAAAGAATGGTGCCTGTCTGGGGTGGGACACAGTAGGATGGCATGAAGTTTCATCATGCTACTCAGAACCTCATGCAGTTTAAAACAAATTCTGGAGTTGTCCATTTCATATTTTCAGACTAGTTAACCACGGGTAACCCTAACCATGGGAAACAAAACCAGTTAATGGAGGACTACTGTAAAAGTAAAAACAGAAATATGATTCAGAAAAAAGAACTAAGGGAGAATTTTCCTACCAGATAACACTGTCAGTCTATAGAGTAGATGCAGTACTGTTTTGTGCAGGGGTAGACAAAGAGAGCAGGAGAAACAACAAAGAACGCAGATGCAGAGAATGTCCTGAGTTGCATAGTTCTGTTCCCCCTTCCCCCACCCCAATTCATGGCCTTGCTGGAACTTCAGATTGTGAACTTATTTGGCAACAGGGTTGTTGCAGAAGTAAATTTTTTTAAGTCTCACTCTTTAAAAAATTTATATATTTACTTACTTATTTGAAAGGTAGAGACACAGGGAGAGAGAGAGATTCTCTTCACTGGTTCACTTGCCAGATGGCCTCAATGGTGGGGTTTGGGCCAGGCCGAAGCCAGGAGCCTGATATGTTTTCCAGGTGTCCACGTGGGTCAGGGGACTAGGCATTTGGGCCATCTTCTGCTTTCCCAGGTGCATTAGCAGGGAGCTGGATTGGGAATGGAGCAGCTGGCACTCAAATTGGTGCTCACATGGGCAGGTGGCAGCTTAACCCATTGCGCCACAGCATTGGCCCCCATAGGGCTAACTGATCAAGATGAGGTCATGGAGTAGGGTAAGGGCATTGAACCAGCTTGGCTTATGCCCACATCAGGAAAGTCACACAGCCGTGTGACAGTGGGAGGAGCGGTTGGATTATGCAGCTACAGGCCAAGGAGCACCAAGGATGCCGCGGTCCCTCTCCTCGAAGGCATGCAGAGATTCTCCGCAGGAGCCCTGAGGGAGGGCAGGCTCTGCCGACGGACGCCTTGGTTTCAGGCCCGGCTTCCAGACCGTGCGGGAAGAAGTTTCTGTTGTTTTAAGCCTCCGAGTTTGTGGTATTTTGTTCAGCCGCTCCAACACAGAGACCTTCAGATGTGGTATTGTCACAGTTGATCTTTCCATCCCGGGAAAACATTGATAGGTCATTAACTTATGCTACAATAAATTATATTCTGATAAACTAAAAATCTAACCGTAGCCGGCGCCGCGGCTCACTAGGCTAATCCTCCTCCTGCGGCGCCGGCACCGCGGGTTCTAGTCCTGGTCGGGGCGCCGGATTCTGTCCCGGTTGCCCCTCTTCCAGGCCAGCTCTCTGCTATGGCCAGGGAGTGCAGTGGAGGATGGCCCAGGTGCTTGGGCCCTGCACCCCATGGGAGACCAGGATAAGTGCCTGGCTCCTGCCATCGGATCAGCGCGGTGCGCTGGCAGCAGTGCACCGGCCACGGCGGCCATTGGAGGGTGAACCAACGGCAAAAGGAAGACCTTTCTCTCTGTCTCTCTCTCTCACTGTCCACTCTGCCTGTCAAAAAAAAAAAAAAAAAAAAAAAAAAAAAAAAACAAAAAAAACTAAGCAGACCAGGGCCGGTGCTGTGGCTCAGCGGGTTAACGCCCTGGCCTGAAGCGCCGGCATCCCATATGGGCATCAGTTCAAGATCCGGCTGCTCCACTTCTGATCCAGCTCTCTGCTATGGCCTGGGAAAGCAGTAGAAGATGGCTCAAGTCCCTAAGCCCTGCACCCACGTGGGAGACCCCAAAGGAAGCTCCTGGCTTTGGATTGGCACAGCTCCGGCTGTTGCGGCTAATTGGGGAGTGAACCATCGGATGGAAGACTTTCTCTCTCTCTCTCTCTGCCTCTTCTCTCTCTGTGTAACTCTGACTTTTTTTTTTTTTTTGACAGAGTGGACAGTGAGAGAGAGAGAGAGAAAGGTCTGACTTTCAAATAAATAAATAAATCTTTTTTTTTTTTTAAAAGCTAAGCAGACCAAAAAACTATTTGTAACCTGTCTAGTAAACAGTCAACGTGTAAATTATGGAAAAAAGCACTAGAAATGAAAGATTAAATGACCCAATAAAAAATGAGGGCGAAGGAGATGAACAAGCAATTCACAGAATTGAGAAGAAATGGTCAGTGGATAAAAGAATGTATTAAAGTGACATTTAGACAATGGAACACCACAGAAAATTTAAAACAGTTCTCTATATGAGAATATTCAAACAGTTTATGGAAAATAGAATTAAAATTTATTTTGGAGCAAAAATATTTTGAAATTCATGCATAGTTTTTTCATAATATGCATTTTCCACAAACTTTTTGAATACCTGTCAAATGCATGGATTTCAAAATTTTTATACCAAAATAAATTCAACTTTTAATTAAATTTCCACAATTTTTTTTTTTTTTTGACAGGCAGAGTGGACAGTGAGAGAGAGAGACAGAGAGAAAGGTCTTCCTTTGCCGTTGGTTCACCCTCCAATGGCCGCCGCGGCCGGCGCGCTGCGGCCGGCGCACCGCGCTGATCCGATGGCAGGAGCCAGGAGCCAGGTGCTTTTCCTGGTCTCCCATGGGGTGCAGGGCCCAAGCACCTGGGCCATCCTCCACTGCACTCCCTGGCCACAGCAGAGGGCTGGCCTGGAAGAGGGGCAACCGGGACAGAATCCGGCGCCCCGACCGGGACTAGAACCCGGGGTGCCGGCGCTGCTAGGCGGAGGATTAGCCTAGTGAGCCGCGGCGCCGGCCAATTTTTTTTTTTTTAATTTGTGTTTATTTGAGAGACAGACAACCAAATGCCACAACAGCTGGAGCTGGGCCAGAGCCTAAGCCAGGAGCAGGAAACACTATCCAGGCCTGCCACATGGAAGGCAGGACAATTACTTGAACCGTCATCACTTTTCCCAGGGTTCACATTAGCAGAAAGCTAGAGTCAGGATCTGAACCCCTGTACACTGACGTGGGATACTAACATCTTCATTGGTATACTAAATGTCTGGTCCTACCACAAACTGAGATTCCCTCACATGTCCACATGGGTAGATCTTAAAGTGTTGAATGAAAAATGCAAGTTGTATTATAATAGGTTATAATAGGGTATTTATGTATAAATGACACAAGGGTTTATCTACTCATGGAACATAATGCAACTAACAGAAAAGTCAGTTTGTCTCCAAGTATTGACCTGGAAAGATAGCCATGACATATTTGAACTGAATGAAGTCTCACAGTGATTTGTTCACATCTTTGTAAAGAGTTTCATTCCACACATACATCAGTCACATGTGTACACCAGCGCAAGTAGTTCAGAGAAGCACGAAGACGTAGAGGGGCTGTAGTGGTGAGCAGCAGAGCCACAGGAGTCAAGGTCATGGAGCGGCCGCGACTGTGTCCCTGTCCTTTCAGTTGCCTCTGACTTTCGAGGATGTTGCCATTTACTTCTCGGAGCAGGAATGGCAGAGTCTGGAGGCCTGGCAGAGGGAGCTTTATGGACACGTAATGAGAACCAATTACGAGACGCTCGCCTCTCTAGGTAAGAAATGTAGGATTTCGTGGGTATGTCGTGGGCTGGTTCCAGTAAGGGGTCTCTCATTGAATGCCTCTGTTTGTCAGGTAGCAGGACTACACAGCAATTAACTCAGGAGGGCCCTAACCTAAGGGTCACTAACCTAAGCCTGGCCCTGCCTCACACCTGTGCAGTGGGTCTAGCTGCTTCGGGAAGGCTCGTGGTGTTCCCACCTGCAGTGGTGTCTGGCAGCTGTACACTGAGCTGCTTAGAAGAAGCTGTCTCCGGGCCAGCGCCGCGGCTCACTAGGCTAATCCTCCGCCTACGGCGCCGGCACCCCAGGTTCTAGTCCTGGTTGGGATGCTGGATTCTGTCCCAGTTGCCCCTCTTCCAGGCCAGCTCTCTGCTGTGGCCCGGGAGTGCAGTGGAGGATGGCCCAAGTGCTTGGGCCCTGTACCCCATGGGAGACCAGGAGGAAGCACCTGGCTCCTGGCTTCGGATCGGCGCAGCATGTCGGCCGTAGCGGCCACCTTGGGGGTGACCAATGGAAGGAAGATCTTTCTCTCTGTCTCTCTCTCTCTCACTGTCTAACTCTGCCTGTCAAAAAATTAATAAATAGAATAAAAAATAAAATATTCAGAGAAGCATCAAATGAAAGACATACTCTCCTGCATCATTTTTAAAAGAGGCGACCACTTGTAACCATTTCTGTTCTCACTGTGGTTTCCCCCAATCTAAATATCATGCCTATACCTCTGTTTCTTCATGTTGAGTGTAGACAGCATGAATCGGTTCCTAGGAGAAATGAAGTATTAGCTCAGTTATGCTATCCCCCTTCTATTTCCTTTTCCCCTTTCCCCCCAGTTTTTCATAGTTTTTGTGTGCCTCTGTTGGTTAGGTTTACAATTTAAAATATTCGAGCAAATTATAGATCATGTTCCATCAACTTTATCTTTGAACCTTTTCAGTGTATAAAGTAATTGGTTCTCCTGTACTTCCCTTCACATGTACTGCAAGTTTAAAGCAGCATACGGCTTCCTTTATGTTGCAAGATTTCTAAAACTTACATTCTGTTCTGTTACCATAGTTAAGTTTTCTAGACTCTGTCTATGGATTGTTTCTAAAACATATAGCCCAAGACATTACATTGTGACTGGAGAATCAGGTAAAGTAATTTAACCTATAGAGAAAGAAATATAATTCCATGTCATTCACTCTGTGCCACCCAGTAAAGAATGTTCAAGCACCAAGATCAAGTGGGTTCTTTTTTTTCATACACACGAGTTAATCGGTATCATGCTTCATTTTAATTTCCTTCACTATTAGGCCGTGGCTTTTTTAGATTTGGATTTTTTCTTGGATTCTTTAAGATTTATATATCTATATATTTTATTTTGAAAGTTACAGAGACAGAGGGAAAGATAGAGACAGAGACGGAGACAGACAGACAGACAGAGAGAGAGATCTCCCATATATCCACCGGTTCACTCACCAGATAGACACTACAACCAGCGCTGTGCCAAGCCAAAGCCAGAAACCAGGAGCTTCATCCAGGTATTCCATGTGGATGGCAAGGGCCCAAACACTTGGGCCATCTTCTGCTGCTTTTCCTAGGCCATTAGCAAGGAGCTGGATTGGAAGTGGAGCAGTTGGAGCATGAACAAGTGCCCATACGGGATGCCAGCATCACAGGCAGTGGCTTGACCCCCTACGCCATGACACCGGTCCTTGTATCCTCTTAATTGTACAGTCAGTTACATGGACCATTCCAGCTTCTGTCAGTTCTCCCTGAATCAGTCTATACCTTCAAAGCAATTCCAGCTGAAATCCCAGCAGGGATAGCATGGAATATCAGCTGATCATAAAGAGCATGAAAGAACAAAGGGCTAAGACAATTTTTTGGAACAAGATGGGAGGTGGATTTTTTTTTTTTTTTTTTTTGGATAGCAAGATTTATTATGTGGTACTGTGTTAGAGATACAGAAATAGCTGATAGCACCACGAGTCTTTGAGCAAAGTTAACACTCCTGCTGTGCTATTGAGATTGCAAATCAGCACAGTGACTGTGAGAGCAATTCGCTAGCATGCAGTAAAGCTGAAGACGTGTATGCAGTAGTTCAGCCTGAGGAATGGCAAGGCTTGTGTGTTCTCACAGAGGCGAGCCGGTAGACTGAACAGACAAGACAGATTGTGAGACAGTCATGTATTAGATGGTAATGAGTGAATCAATGCAAGTTGTTTCAAAGTGAAGGAATTTTTAAAACATAATTTGAGGGAAAAAGTAAGATACAGAGTGACGGTATGATTTATATGAAATTTAAACCAGCAGTAGGGGCTGATGGCATAGCATAGCTGGTAAAGCCACTGCTTGCAGTGCCGGCATCCCATATGGGTGCTGGTTCTAGTCCTACCTGCTCCTCTTCCGATCCAGCTCTCTGCTATAGCCTGGGAAGGCAGTAGAAGATGGCCCAAGTGCTTGGGCTCCTGCATGCACATGGGAGACCCAGAAGAAGCTCCAGGCTCCTGGCTTCAGATTGGCCTGGCTCTGGCTGTTGTAGCCATTTGGGGAGTGAACCAGCAGATGGAAGATATCTCTCTCTCTGCCTCTGCCTCTCTGTAACTCTGCCTTTCAAATATATAAGTCTTAAAGATAAATAAATAAATAAACCAGCAATAAATATTTTTATTTCCTCTGTCTCTCTATCTCCCTGCCTCTCTCTCTAACTCCGCCTTTCAAATAAATAAAATAAATCTTTAAAAATATTTATTTATGTTTGCATTTAAAAATAACAACATACACAGAAATGATAAATGCCGATTCAGGGTAATGCCTACCTCTGGAGAGGGACACACTGGGGCTTAAATTGTGTAACATTGCCCATCTTTTAAAATCTAAAGCAAGTACCTATGTCAGCATGGTAAGAGCTGACAAAGTTAGATGACACCCAGCTTTTTGTATATTGTTCTCTTTACTTTCCCATAAAAATATTTTTAATAAAAAAGCGTTATTTTTTGAAACCCTTTTTGATGGAATTTTGGCCTCAGCCGACTTGCTTCAACATTGAACACATAAGATTCAGCTATTATTAAGAATATTTTCAGGATAGGAATCTGGCTTAGCAGTTAAGGTGCTGGTTAAGAAACTTGTGTTCCTTGGGGCTGGCACTGTGACATATCTGTTAAAGCCGCCACCAGCAGTGCTGGAATACCATTCGTGTGTCAGTTTGAGTCCCGGCTGCTCCACTTCCCATCCAGCTCTCTGCTATGGCCTGGGAAAGCAGTAGAAGATGGCCCAGGGCCTTGGGACCCTGCCACCCGCGTGGGAGACATGGAAGAAGCTCCTAGTTCCTGGCTTTGGATTGGCCCTGCTCCAGCCGTTGCAGCCATTTGGGGAGTGAACCAGTGGATGGAAGCCCTCTTTCTCTGCCTCTGCCTCTGTAACTTTGCCTTTCAAATAAATAATTTTTTAAAGAACTCTGTGTCCCCCAAAAATGGAGACATTCTTTGCTCATGGATTGGAAGAATCAATATCATTAAAATGTCTGTACTACCTAAAGCAATCTACAGATTCAATGCAATCCCTATCAAAATACCAATGACATTATTTATATAACTAGAAAAAGCAATTCTTTTGTAAAAAAAAAGATGTATTTATTTGTTTTTTATTTTTATTTATTTATTTTTGACAGGCAGAGTGGACAGTGAGAGAGAAACAGAGAGAAAGGTCTTCCTTTACTGTTGGTTCACCCTCCAATGGCCGCTGTGGCCAGCGCGCCGCGGCCGGTGCACTGCGCTGATCTGAAGCCAGGAGCCAGGTGCTTCTCCTGGTCTCCCATGTGGGTGCAGGGCCCAAGGACTTGGGCCATCTTCCACTGCCTTCCTGGGCCACAGCAGAGAGATGGACTGGAAGAGGAGCAACCAGGACAGAATCCAGTGCCCCAACTGGGACTAGAACCTGGTGTGCCGGCACCACAGGTGGAGGATTAGCCTATTGAGCCGCGGCGCCGGCTTTATTTATTTATTTGAAAGCCAGAGTTACAGAGAGGCAGAGAAAGAGAGAGAGAGAGAATATCTTCCATCTGCTGGTTCACTCCCCAGATGGCTGCAATGGCCAGAGCTGGACCAATCCAAAGCCAGGAATCAGGAGCTTCTTCTAGGACTCCTATGCAGGTGCAGAGGCCCAAACACTTGGGCCATCCTCTACTGCTTTACCAGGCCATAGCAGAGACCTGGATCGGAAGTGGAGCAGCCGGGACTCACACTGGCACCCATATGGGATGCCAGCACTGCAGGTGGAGGCTTTACCCCGCTACAACACAGCACTGGCCCCTAGTAAAAGCAATTCTAAAATTTGTATGAATAAGAAAACAGCCAGAATAGCCAAAGTGATTCTGAATAAGAAAAAGCAAGCTGGAGACGTTGCAATACCTGACTTCAAAGCTTACAACAAAGCTAAAGTAATTAAAACAGCATAGTACTACATAAGAACTGGTACATAGATCAGTGGAAAACAGAATAGACAGCCCAGAAATTAACCCATGTACACACAGTCCGCTGGTTTTTGACAGAAGTACTCAAACCATACAGTGGAATAAGGATAGTCTTTTCAACAAATGGTGCTGGCAAAACTGGATTTATATATGTTGAGGAATGAAATTAGATCCATACCTCCCACCGTATACAAAAATCAACTCAAGATGGATCAAAGACTTAATTTTAAGATGTCAGACTGTGCGGTTGCTCGAAGAAAATGTAGGGGAAACACTCCAAGAAGTTGGTGTATGGATGACTTTTGGATAGGCAACAAAAGCAAAACACAGGCAACAAAAGCAAAACCAAATAAATGGGACTATGTCAAGCTTAGAAGCTCTTGCACAGCAAAGGAAATGATCAATAGGGTGAAGAGACATCCAGCAAAATGGGAAAAAATATTTGCAAATCACCGATCTGACAAAAGATTAATATCCTGACTATATCAGCAAGTTAAAAAACAACAACAAAAACCAATCCAGTTGAGAAATAGGTAAAGGACTTCACTAGACAGTTCTCAAAAGAAGAAATAGAAATGGCCAACAAATACATGAAAAATGCTCAATATAACTAGCCGTCAGAGAAATGCACATGAAAATCACAATGAGATATTACCTCACCTCTGTCAGAGCAGCTGAAATCCAAAATACAGAGAGGGACAAATGCTGGCAATGATGTGGACAAAGGAGAACACTTACACACTGTTGGTGGGAATGTAAAGTAGTGCAGCCACTGTGGAAAACAGTGTGGCAATTTCTTAAAAAAAAAAACAAAAAAAAACAAAACAAAAAAAAAAAACAAACTAGAAATAGGAGCTGGTGCTGTGGTGCAGTGAGTAAAAGCCGCCACCTGCAGTGCCAGCATCCCATGTGGGCACTAGTTCAAGTCCTGGCTGCTCCACTTCCGATCCAGCTCTCTGCTATGACCTGCAAAAGCAGTAGAAGATGTCCCAAGTCATTGGGTCCCTGCACCTGTATGGGAGACCTGGAAAAAGCTCTTGCCTCCTGGCTTCAGATCAGCCCAGCTCCTGCCATTGTGGCCATCTGGGAAGTCACCAGCAGATGATAGATTCTCTCTCTCCTCTCTCTGCCTCTACCTCTGCCTCTGCCTCTGCCTCTGCCTCGCATTGTAACTCTGCCTTCCAAATAAATAAATAAATCTTTGAAAACAAATAAATCTTTAAAAAAAGAGCCTAGATGTAATAAAAAAAAATGGAAATAGACTTGCCATATGATCCAGCAATTCTACTACTGGGTATATACCCTAAAGGCTTGAACACAGTGTATCAAAGAGATGCCTGCACCCCCATGTTTATAGCAGCACTGTTGACAACAGCCAAAATTTAGAATCAACTAAGGTGTCCATCATCAGATGAATGGATTAAGACAATATGGTAGGCCGGCGCCACGGATCAATAGGCTAATCCTCTGCCTTGCGGCGCCGGCACCCCGGGTTCTAGTCCTGGTTGGGGCACTGGATTCTGTCCCGGTTGCCCCTCTTCCAGGCCAGCTCTCTGCTGTGACCCGGGAGTGCAGTGGAGGATGGCCCAAGTATTTGGGCCCTGCACCCGCATGGGAGACCAGGATAAGTACCTGGCTCCTGCCATCGGATCAGCGTGGTGCGCCGGCCGCAGCGGCCATTGGAGGATGAATCAACGGCAAAAGGAAGACCTTTCTCTCTCTCTCTCTCTCACTGTCCACTCTGCCTGTCAAAGAAAAAAAAAAAAAAAGAAAAAAAGACAATATGGTATATATACACAATAGAATGTTATTCAACCAAAAAAAAAAAAAAATAATGAAAATCAGGCTGGTGCTGTGGCACAGTGGGTTAACGCCCTGGCCTGAAGTGCCGGCATCCCATATGGGCGCCAATTTTAATCCTGGCTGCTCCTCTTCTGATCCAGCTCTCTGCTGTGGCCTGCAAAAGCAGTAGAAGATGGCCCAAGTCCTTGGGCCCCTGCACCCACATGGGAGACCCGGAAGAAGCTCCTGGCTCTTGGTTTCGGATAGGCTGCGGCCATCTGGGGAGTGAACCATCGGATGGAAGACCTCTCTCTCTGTCTCTACCTCTCTCTCTGTAACTCTGACTTTCAAATAAATAAATAAATCTTAAAAATAAAACAGGACAAGCCGGCGCCGTGGCTCAATAGGCTAATCCTCCACCTTGCGGCGCCGGCACACCGGGTTCTAGTCCCGGTTGGGGCGCCGGATTCTGTCCCGGTTGCCCCTCTTCCAGGCCAGCTCTCTGCTATGGCCAGGGAGTGCAGTGGAGGATGGCCCAGGTGCTTGGGCCCTGCACCCCATGGGAGACCAGGAAAAGCACCTGGCTCCTGGCTCCTGCCAGGATCAGCGCGGTGCGCCGGCTGCAGCGGCGGCCATTGGAGGGTGAACCAACGGCAAAAGGAAGACCTTTCTCTCTCTGTCTCTCTCTCTCACTGTCCACTCTGCCTGTCAAAAAAAAAAAAAAAAAAAAAAAAAAAAAAATTAAAAAAATAAAACAGGACAAAAAAGAATGAAATTCTAGCTATTTGCAGCAAGATAGATGCAACTGGAGGATATCATATTAAGTGAAATAGCCAGACCCAGAAAGAAATACCACATGTTCTCCCTTATATATGGGAGCTAAAATTTAAAAAAAAAAAAAAGTAAGAAATGTCTGCGTGAATCAGTATTGCTTTAAATATAACTTTGTAAAGCTTTGTTTTATACCTTTATGAAACTAATGGTTAAGAATATTATACTAGTATAGTCTTAATGATCTGTGATTACTTCAAAATTTACTGTAAATGGGTGAAATGGTCATTTTCTCATTCATTGTTTATGGCTGTTGTCTATATTCCCACTAAACTAGGCTTTTTTTTTTTTGCCTTTTACTTGTTAAACTTCTTATTCAGTGAAGTATTAAGCCTTTTTTTTTAGATTATTTATTTATTTGAAAGTCAGAATTACAGAGAGAGAGAGAGAAGAGGTCCTCCGTCTGCTGGTTCACTCCCCAGATGGCTGCAATGGCCGGAGCTGTGCCGATCTGAAATCAGGAGCCAGGAGCTTCCTCCGGGTCTCCCACGTGGGTGCAGGGGCCCAAGGACTTGGCCATCCTCCTCTGTCCTCCCAGGCCACAGCAGAGACCTGGATGAGAAGTGGAGCAGCCGGGACTCGAACTGGCACCCATATGGGATGCCGGCACTGCAGGCAGTGGCCCCACCTGCCATGCCACAGCATTGGCCCCAGTATTAATCCTTTTTACTATAATGTAAATTCAAAATATGTTATTTCATAAAAAAACAGGAGGAGGAGAGTGGGAGGGAGAGAAGGAGAGGGAGGGAGGGAGGGAGGGGAGGGGAAGGGGAAGGAAATAGCATTATGTTCTTCGAATTGTATCTATAAAGCACGTTGAATCCTTCAAAAACTAATTGAAAATTAAAAAAAAAAAAAAAGGACACTGTTTCCCATATCAGGATTCCTGGGTTAGATTTCTGGCTCTGGCTCTAGAATCCAGCTTCCTGCTAATGCACACCCTAGGAGACACCAGGTGATGATTCAAATAGTTGGGGCCCTGCTACCCATGTAGGAGACTTCGATTAAGTTCCCAGCTTCTGGCTTCAGCCCCAGTCTAGCCATGGCAATGGGAGGCATTTGGGTAGTAAACCAGTGGATGGGAACTCTTGTCTCTCAAATAAATTTTGAACGATATTTGCCATTTTGTTTTTGGACAAAATACGGCATTGTAGATACATGGGGGCATGACAAAATTAAAATAACAAGTCCAGATAGGCTGGGAAACACTGTTAGGATGAGGGGGCAGCTTGGTCCTCTTTGTGCAAGTCTAGAACCTATTTTTTTTTTTCATCTCTCCTCATATATTGTCCCAGCAGTGAGCATTTAGAAACTTTGAGTGTTCAAGTAAGCCAAACTACCCTGCCTGACTTTTCTGTGCAGATGGTGGACTTCCCAAGCCAGAACTAATAACCTGGATTGAACAGCAAGGAGAGTTCGGGAGTTGCACAGAATCACAGAAACCAAGAAACATAATTTGCTCCTCTGCTGATACACATTTTGATCCAGCTGTTGAGGAACAGTTGTTTTGGGGTGAGTATTAAGAAATATATGGTCTTAAGATAGCATATATTCAGACTTCATGGTTTCTCTTTTCTGATCTTATCTTCTCTTTTCTGGGTAACCTTAATCAAGTTACTGAACCATTGAGTATTTCAGTTCTTGATCTATAAAATTAAGATAATGAAAGTACTTAAGTTTTAAGATTAAATGAGTAATGTATGTAGTGTTAAAATGATCTCTGGCACATAGCAAGAGCCCAGTGCTAGAAGCTATCTTAGTAGTAAGGAAAAGAGCCAAAGTAGGCCTAGTCTTTTTTTTTATTAATTTATTTATTTGAAAGGCAAAGTTACAGAGAGGCAGAGGCAGAAAGAGAGAAAAATCTTCCATCCGCTGGTTCATTCCCCAGATGGCTGTAACAGCTGGAGCTGGGCCTATCCGAAGCGAGAAGCCAGGAGCTTCTTCTAGGTCTCCCACATGGGTGCAGGGGCCCAAGGACTTGAGTCATCTCCTACTGCTTTCCCAGGCCATAGCAGAGAGCTGGATGGGAAGTGGAGCAGCCAGGACTCAAACAGGTGACCATATGGGATGCCAGTACTGCCTTACCTGCTACACCACAGTGCTGGCCCGTAGTCTTGCTGTCTGTTCTTAGGACAGCTCATGGATGGTATAAACTGTGGTATTAGTCAGGGTCTCTGTTAGGAACTTAACTGCCATCAACGTCTTGGGGCTCCAGGTATGTCTAGACATCAACATCAGGTAAGTCACGTATACCTGAAGTCATAGTGGTGTTCAGCATTTAAGAGTATATGCAACATGCTGGAACATGCTAAGAACCTCATGCATGTTAGCTTCATGTAACTCACTCCAGTCATATGTACTTTGTTTCTCTGCTCTTATAGAAGGAGATAAAGCAAAAAGAGATTAACTTGGCAGACATTGTGCAGTGGACAAATGGGATTTAAACCCAGGCAGTCTAATTCCGAAGCTTAGATCGTACCTTTGTGACCTGTATTTTCCTCTTCAGTATTATTTAATATAGGACACATCTGTTCAGGGATGGGCATTTAGCTTAGCTGGTACGACACAGGTTAAGATGCCTATATCCAATATCAGAGTACCTGGGTTTGAGTCCCAGCTCTCGCGCCTGACTCTCGCTTTCTGCTAACGCAGGCCCTGGGAGGCAGCAGTGATGGCCCAGAGTAATTGGGTTCCTGCCACCCACATGGGAGACCTGGTTTGAATTCTTGACTCCTGGCTTCAGCCTGGCTCAGATCCACTATTGTCAGCATTTGGGGAATAAACCAGTAGATAGGAGCTTTCTCTGTCTCTCAAATAAATTTTTAAAAAGATCAGTTTATTCGGTTTAGTTACCCAGACCATCATCAGACTCATTTTGGTTGTGAAATAGAACCACACTATGTGGTTGTGTGGCTCATTGGCAGCATGGTTCCCAGGCTACCCCCCAGTTACTGTTACACATCACGTTACCGGTAACAGTCATGTGCCATGCCATCAACAGGAGAACTGACTGAATTTTTGTCTTCAGTTTCAGGAAGCCAGCAACCGGTGAGCTCAGGAGAAACTAAATGCCATTTCCAGGCAGGCACTCTTCGGAGCCAGCATTCCTCTGGACTCTCTTTAGGAGGCAGGGAAGCTGTTTCCTTTAGGCCTGACCAAGACCTCACGGAGACGGAGACGGAGACGGAGACCAAGAACCCACAGGGACGCAGCCCCAGGGCTCCTAATGCAGTAGGCCTTGGCTGCAGCGAATCTCCCTACAGAGAGGGAATCCCAAGGCACAGAGCTCCGAGTGTCCCCTCGCGGGAGAGCCCCCAGCACCCCTGCCCTGACCGTGGGGAGAATTTCTGGAAGGGCCGCTTGGGAAAGCAGCAGAGGAGCCGCCCCCAGGACCTGCCGCAGAAAGCCTGCAAGGTCAGCCGCAGAGCTGGTGCCCGGCAGGAACAGGACGGCGTCCCCGGGGCAGGGAGGCACTGCCCGGGTCGGGAGTGCGGACAGGCCTTCCGCCGGAAGCAGTACTTGCCGAGGCAGCTGACTGCCCACACGGGGAAGTGTGAGATGTGTTTCTGCCACAGGCGGGGCCCCCTCGCCCACCACCTCACGCACAAAGGGGAGAAGCCTTCCCAGCATCTCAAATGCAGCCCGGGCTTTCCGCCGATGAGCAGCGCGCAGGCTCTCCAGTGCCAGCCTGGCAGAGAGACGCCCGGCTCCTGGAGGCGAGGCTGCAGGGCCTTCCCCGGCGTGCAGTCAGGGCAGAAGCCAGGCCCCCGCCACCCCCGGGGCGACGCAGAGGCTCCGCGGCCCTGCCCCGGCGCCGCGGGCGGCAGGTGCCTCCCCACAAGGTCCAAGCTTGCCAACTGCCTGGGGGTGCACGCAGGAGAAAGGCCCTTCCCGGGCCCCAGCGGCCCCGGCGGGGAGAGACCGGCCTCCCGCGGGAAGTGTGGCCCGGGCTTCCCCAAACAGCGCAAGCTCGCCGAGCACGACCGAGCCCACAGCGGAGAGAAGCCTCTCCGGTGCGCCGAGTGCGGCCGGAGCTTCCGTCAGACGGCGCAGCTGCGGCGGCACCAGCGGCTGCACACGGAGGAGAAGCCCTTCCCGTGCCCGGAGTGCGGCCGGAGCTTCCGCCTGCAGAGCCTGTTGCGAGCCCACCGGCTGCGACACGGCGGAGAGCGGCCGTTCTCGTGCGGCGAGTGCGGCCGCGGCTTCAGCCACCAGTGCAAGCTGCGCGAGCACCTGCGGGTGCACAGCGGGGAGAGGCCCTTCCCGTGCCCGGACTGCGGCAAGAGCTTCCGGCTGAAGGGCATCCTCCAGGCGCACCAGCGCACCCACAGCCAGGAGCGGCCCTTCTCCTGCGGGGAGTGCGGCAAGGGCTTCACCAGGCAGTCCAAGCTCACGGAGCACTTCCGCGTGCACAGTGGGGAGCGGCCCTTCGGCTGCGCGGAGTGCGGCAGGAGCTTCCGCCTGAAAGGGCAGCTGCGCAGCCACCAGCGCCTGCACACGGGGGAGAGACCCTTCCAGTGCCCGGACTGCGACAAGCGCTACCGCGTGAAAGCCGACATGAGAGCCCACCAGCTGCTGCACGGCGGCGCGATGCCCTTCTCCTGCCAGTGTGGCAAGGGCTTCGCGAAGCAGTCCAAGCTCGTCGAGCACGTCAGGACGCACACGGGGGAGAAGCCCTTCCAGTGTGCCCAGTGTGACAAGAGTTTCCGCCTGAAGGCCCAGCTGCTTAGCCACCAGGGCCTGCACAGCGGGGAGAGGCCCTTCCACTGCCCCGAGTGTGACAAGGCCTTCCGGGAAAGGGGACATATGTTGAGGCACCAGCGCATCCACAGGCCCGAGAGGCCCTTTGCCTGCGGCGACTGCGGGAAGGGCTTCATCTATAAGTCTAAACTCGCCGAGCACGTCCGCGTGCACGCCAAATCCTGCCGTGCTCAGGACCGGCCTGACGTTAAGAAAAGGCTTAGCCAGCTGTTTGCAATGATAGAAGCTGATTGGAGCTGAGGCAGAGCGCGCCATCAAGGCAGCGCAAGAGGTCTTCAACACTTCGTGATAAAGGCATGTGATGAAAAACACTGCATGGATTTCACTTTTTTTTTTTTTTGCTACACAGAGGGAAAGACAAAGAGAGAGAGCTCTGAGCTCTTCCATCCACTAGCTCACTCCTTGAGTGCCTGCCACAGCTGGGATAGCCAGCCAGGAACTCCCACCTGGGTGTACTGACCCAAGTCCTTTGGACTTTATCCATTGCCTCCCAGGCACATTAGCAGGAAAGTTGGATCAGAAGCGGGGTACTCAGTGCTCACCAGTCACTCCAATATGGTATGCAGGCATCCCAACCAGTAGTACCCCAGTACAAGCCCTAAACTTACCTGTTCATTCAGTTTTCCATGAACTTTTTTTCCCCAAAGATTTTTATTTATTTGAAAGTTGGAGTTAGCGAGAAAGGGAGAGACAAAGAAGTCTTTCACCTGCTGGTTCGCTCCCCAAATGGCCACAGTGGTTGGGGCTGTGCCAGGCTGAAGCCAGGAGCCAAGACTTTCTTCTGAGTCTCCCATGTGGGTGGCAGGGCCATCTCTGGCCCCCTGCATGAACTTTTTGAAGTCCCACATAAACGTGGAATTGCAGGGAAGAGATGGGGTCTTTCCTATTTGTTACACTAGATGGAAGTTGTATGGACACCAAATAGGTATACTTCAGGGACAGAATATACTGTATACACACACAATTCCTGCTTTTAAGAGGGTTTATGGTCAGGTAGGAGATGGCTGACAGGGAGGCATTTGGCACAGTGGTTAAGATGATACTTGGGGGGCCAGTGCTATGGCTCAGTGGGTTAATCCTCCGCCTGAGGCGCCGGCATCCCATATGGGTGCTGGGTTCTAGTCCCAGTTGCTTCTCTTCCAGGACCGTTCTCTGCTGTGGCCCGGGAGGGCAGTGGAGGATTGCCCAAGTGCTTGGGCCCTGCACCTGCATGGGAGACCAGGAGGAAGCACCTGGCTCCTGGCTTCGGATCGGCGCAGCACCAGCCATAGTGGCCATTCGGGGAGTGAACCAACAGAAGGAAGACCTTTCTCTCTCTCACTGTCTGTAACTCTACTTGTCAAATTAAAAAAATAATATCCAATGTCTTAGTTCAAGTCTTTCCCAGCCTCCATTTCCAGCTGCCTGCTTATATGCACCCAGGGAGGCAGCAGTACTTGGGTTGCTGCCACCCATGTAGGAGACTGGGATAGAGTTCTGAGCTCCCAGCTTCAGCCTGGCCCAGTCCTGCCTGCTGTGGGCATCTGAGGAGTGAACCAGCCTATGGAAGATCTCTTTGTCACTCTGTCTCTACCTTTCAAATAAATAATTTTTTAAAAAATTAAAATTTTTTTTTTTGACAGGCAGAGTGGACAGTGAGAGAGAGAGACAGAGAGAAAGGTCTTCCTTTGCCGTTGGTTCACCCTCCAATGGCCGCCGCTGCCGGCGCGCTGTGGCCGGCGCACCGCGCTGATCCGATGGCAGGAGCCAGGAGCCAGGTGCTTTTCCTGGTCTCCCATGGGGTGCAGGCCCCAAGCACCTGGGCCATCCTCCACTGCACTCCCTGGCCACAGCAGAGAGCTGGCCTGGAAGAGGGGCAACCGGGACAGAATCCGGCGCCCCAACCGGGACTAGAACCTGGTGTGCCGGCGCCGCTATAAAAAATTAATTTTTAAAAATGGCTTACAAAATTCTGAAGGGTGACAGAAAATGAAATTACAGGTAAATGTAAATGACATTACTATAAAACAGTGTTACACAAATTAAATTCCCTGGGACAAAGGCTCCAAAAATATTCTGCAAGAAAAGAGTTCCATGGAAAATTACATAAAGATCCTAATTGTCTGTCGCTGCATTCTTAGACAAAGTTTATAAAGCATTTGAAGAAAAACTTCCACATAAAAGAGGAAGACCAAGATAAGAAAAAAAAATTGGATGAATCATATAATTTAGGGAATAAAAACAAAAATTTAAAAACATGCATACTCAGAAAAATTAGAGAAGACGCTGTTAATTATGAAACAAGAATATAACTTTATGGAAAAGGAAGCTTCTGGAAACAACCCTAACATGTTAAGAAAAATGGGTTGTTTAATAAAAGTTTTGAATTTCATGGTAGATTAGTCAAAGAAATCTCCAGAAAGTAGCACAGAGGATCCAACAAATAGAAAATAAGAAAGTAGAAAAAAGTGAATTGTACAAATTCTGGTGCTTTGCCCCTCCTCCTCCTGAGGTTTTGATCCTGTGGCCGCATGTTGGAGCAGGGTAAAGTAGAAGAGAACGTGTGGTGTGAAGGGAGACGGAAGTTTAAGGAAAATGGTCACGGTTACACAGCACATGTGAACCGACGGAGGCACAGAAGCAGGCTGGGCGGCAGCGGCTTCCCTCCCGATCAGAGCGAATCGGCGTTTCTGATTTTGTGAGTTTTCCCAAGGCCAGTGACACCTCCAGCCTTTGTCAAGCAGTCGCTGCAGGAAGAATTTTCTCACACCTCTCCCGCCAGCTCCTCATGGGGAAGCCGGAGGTGCTGCTCTGCGCCACAGATAGCCCGAGTCTTTCCCGAAACGTAGAATCCCAACGGTGGGTGGCAGAGAGATGCACGCAGCAGTGACCTAATGGGAAACGACACACCAGTGCCATTTTGAAGCGAGGCAGAAAAAGGCGACACTCTACATGATCCAGCGCCCTCGCTTCCCTACAGATCGATTTCAGTCAGATTCAGTCCCGTATAGCCCCCAAAGGAGGAAGGGGTCCGAGCCGTTGACAGCCTGGGGCAGCTCGCGTTCCGGTACGCGCGGGTCCGGGGAAGCGCGCCGGTGCGCGCGCGCCGCAGTTCTTGGCTCCTCCCGCCTGCAGGTGGCGCTGTGGGAGCCAAGTCCGAGCTGTGCTCCCAGAATGCCCTGCGTGTCTCCATGGCGACGGCCGCCGCCGGGAGAGATGGCAGGTTCTGGTCTCGCTGTGGAAGGACCTCGCCCGCGGAGGCTCCCTGGCCTCCGCCGTCTCTGTGGACTCTCCCCGCCGGACAGGAGTCGGTGGTGGTCTCGGGAGGAGACGCCTGGGCGAGCTGTCCCGATCCGGAGGGTACTGGGATGGAAGGAGGCCCAGGTCCGCGCTGGAGCTGCCTGAGCCGACTGTCAGATCTGCAGCCCTGGCCCGCGCCCTGCGGGCTGCAGAGTGGGCCGCGAGGGGGACGGCAGCGTCCCCAGCCCCGGAGCCTTAAAGTCCTTGCCGCGGAGACCTTGGCTGGGCCAGGCAGAAGCTAGGAGCCTGGAACCCCATCCCGGGGGTGGCAGGGGCCCAGTGCTTGGGCCATCGTCCGCTGCTTTCCCAGGTGCATTACCGGCGTCACCAGCAGTTGTTTAACCTGCTTTGCCACAACCCCAGCCCCACAGTTTCAAGCCTTTTATGCTTGTGAAAAAGAGATTCAGAATAGAATCCTTGAAGGCCATAATCCGACTCCCTCATTGTACAGATAAGTGAATCACAGAGAAGTTGAAGGGATTTGCTGCAGGTCATGTTGCTAATAATTGAGAGGAAAGCCTGCCTTCTTGGGTTGCAGTTCTATACTCTCCTTTATCGGGACTTCTCGCCTTTAATAAGTATTAATGGTCAGTATTTAGTGTTACTTCTCCAGGGGTTGTGCCTGCCTAACCAAGGTGCTCTCCCACATTTTTTAAATTATTAGGAACCTAAAGGGCATTTTCTTTATTCTCCTTTATCACCTGTAGGAAAAGTGATGTGGTTTTCTGGTATGAAACATTTTGAGCCAGGTAATCAGTGGCCTATCATCTCTTTCTGACAGTTGTAATGTGTTCTTGGAGCAAATTGTCCATTTCCTGTTTAAATTTCGTTTTAGTGGAGTGAAACTACCAACTTCAGGAGTCTCTGCAGATTATACTTGCAGTATTTCTTGATTATAAACGCTTGGGTGTTTTTACACTCAGAGAAAATGTTGAAGATAGTTCTGTATGTATTTTATCACAAAATACTATAAATTTACATATCTGTGTTCTAGAGTAGGTACTTACACAACTATATCCTGTGGTAAGTGTACAAGTGTATGTTTAATTGAATAATTTAATCACCTTATTTCAGGTATGTTTCTCCAGTTGCAAATGAGTGTCTGGGGGCTTCTTGGGACACCCACATCCCATGTGGGAGTGCCTCGGCGCAAGCACCAGTTCCGCTTCAACCCCAGCTTCTACTAATGCACACCCTGGGAAACTCCTGGCTTTAGCCTGGCCCAGCCCTGGCTGTTGTGGGCATTTGGCGAGTGAGCTGGAAAATGGAAGATCTTGTGTGTGTGTGTGTGTGTGTGTGTGTGTATGCCTTCAAAAAAAATTCATAAATAGTGCACGTCTGTAGCTGTTCCCATGATTGACTTATTGAGCCCCTTCCCTCCCTTCCACTATTCCTTTATGAAAAGGTATGTGTGTTCAGTATTCCACCTCTGTCAGTATTCCGCCTCAGTCTGCTTTGTTTGAAGTGTTTGTTAATATTTGAAAAGAGGTCCAGCAAAATCATCTTAAGCCTCTTACTGGAATTATGACACCAAAGCCTACTTAAGCCCATCTTAACATATTGAACATCCTGCCTTCTCAAATCCATTAGTAGCTCCTTATCTGATGTGAATAAAGATAAAAGAGCTTTTAAACATCTTGGAGGAGGACAGATGTGGTCATCCTGAGTCCGAGGAAAGTATGGGATTCCACATGACAGTGACCTTTGCTGATGTGACACAGGAGTTGGGGAATCTGGATGGACATCAGAAAGAACCTTACAAGCATGTGATGAGAAATATAGGTAAGATTCTGATCTCTCTATGCAAGGTGCATTCTCATGGACATGGAATCAAAGGTTATGCAAGTCTCAGCAGGTCATCTGGTCTTTCTATTTGCTGCTTGGTCAGCCTTTAATGAGAAAACAACCTTCTTTAGCCATAGGATCTCCTAGGGAAACAAATTATTTGCTTGACATCATGGCCAGTTCATTTTTTCAAAGTATGCTCCTTGCCCCTTAATCCCTTGCATTTACCCAACTCTATTATTGCCACCAAGTTCTTCAGGTCTCTGAATCTTGACTTTGTCTTCCAACTCATACTACAAAGTAGAGACGGCATAGATAGCAAGTCAATCAGTGCTCATCTATTTAGAATTTCCATGCCTTTATTTCATTCAAGTGAAATCAGTAAACATGTATTGAATACCCACCCTGGAGTAAGTAGAAAAGTAAAATACACATAGTTCTTAACCTTAAGGAGCAAACAGCCCACTAAGGGAGAGACATGTGTCACCTGAGGGCTCTTTTGATTGCAGATGATGAGAACTCAGCTCAAGCTATGGGGGAAAATGGAAAGTGATTGATAGGCTCGTGTGAGGAGGAAGTCCAGTGGTCACATTATGTTCATAGAAGGTTGGATCTAGGGACTTGCTTCATGTTCTAGTTCTCTTTTCTGCTCGTTCTTCTTAGTTCTTCTTCTCTCTGTGCAGATTTGAGTTGTTGTCAGCATTTTTAAGGTTCTAAGAAGACTTGCAGCAAAGAAATTTGTCAAATTGTGTTTAGTGTGGGGAGGGGGAGGGGAAAGGAAGGGGAGGGGAGGGGGAGAGGAAGAAGGGAGGGGGAGGGAGAGAGAGAGGGAGAAAGAGAGAGGGAGGGAGGGAGAGAGAGAGGGAGAGAGAGGGAGAGAGAGAAAGAGAGAGGGAGAGAAAGAGTGAGAGAGAGAGGGAGATCTCCCATCCATTGGTTCACTTTCCAAAAATGACCACAGTGACTGGGGCTTGGCCAGGCCAAAGCCAGGATCCAGGACTTCTTCTGGATCTCCCATGTGGGTACAGGGGCCCAAGTACTTGCTCCATCCTCCACTGCTTTCCCAGGTACATTAGCAGGGAGCTGGGTCAGAAGTGGAGCAGCCGGAACTCTAACTGTGCTTATATGGGATGCCAGCACTGCAGGCAGCGGTTTTCCCTGCTAAGCCACAGCACTGGCCCCATCTTAGGTGGGAGAGGACATTATAAGAGGGTCTGAGAAAAGGCAGGGGATGGCAAGAATGGACTATGTCCATAGTTGGATCATAGGATTCTTTGGGGCGAAAACATCAGGAAATAAACTGTTTGAGGCCAGCTCCTAGAGAGCCGTGAATACCACACTGAATCTGGGCTGCCGCAGAGGCTTTGGGGGGAGAATGTGCTGCTCTCTGCACCAGCAAGTAACTGACCACACGATGTCGGGTGAATGTGAACCTGGGGAAATTGGAAGCAGAACGGCCAGGTATGGGGCTATTACAGCAACTAGTGGGGAAGATGATAGGAAATTAACAAGAATTCTAAGTATTTAAAAACCTGGATTCAGTGCAAGAGCTGTTTTAGAAGTCAGAGCTAATGAGAGAGGGACTCGGCGGATGTTGGGAATGGCAGCCTGGAGGAGTAAAACATGACAGACCTGCAGAGTGTACAGCTGAGTGAGGATTTGGGGAAGGAAGCTCCAAAGGGAGAAAAATCATGAAATGGAAGAATTTGGTGTATCAGAGAACCCGGTGAACATCGAAGTAAAGATGGCCAATATACATCTGAAACTTTAGAGCAAAAGTCACTCTGTCACAACTGCTCAGCTCCTGCTCCTGCAGCGTGAAGGCAGTGCGGGTGTGACAGCAACAAATGGGGGTGGCTCTGTGCCCAGAGACCCTTAGGCATGGATGCTGAAGCTCCTGTCTTGTGTTACTTGTGCTTGTCATTAAATATGATCTACTTGATTTCTTTCAGTCATTAAGAAATGCAAAAATGTGTTCTTAGCTCGCAGAACGTGAGAAAATGGGCAGTGGTTTGGAGTTGGCCCACGCGTTGCCACATTTTGCTGATCTCTGGTCTAGAGACTCGACGCCATCTGCACATTAGAGATAATGGAAGCCAGGCACAATGTAAAGCAAGAGAGTAAGATTGCCTCAGTAGGAGACAGGAGAGGCAATGAAAGGAAGAAGAAAAACACGTTAGAGACACCAGAGGACAGGAGAGCTTTACGCAGGGTGAGGAGGAGAGCATTGCTGCTGATGGTCGTGGTGGCTGCTGCGAGAAGTCAAGGATGTGAGTATTTGTGGTGAGTGTGGCTACTCAATTACTTTTTTTTTTTTTAAAGAAAATTATTTATTTATTTATTTGAAAGGCAGCAGGCAGAGAAAGAGAGTCTTCCATCCACTGGTTCACTCCCCAGATGGCCACAGTGGCTGGAGCTGCACTGATCTGAAGCCAGGAGCCAGGTGCAGCTTCCCAGTCTCTGACGCGGGTGCAGGGGCCCAAGGACTTGGGCCATCTTCTACTGCTTTCCCAGGCCACAGCAGAGAGCTGGATTGGAAGTGGAGCAGCTGGGACACGAACTGGCACCCATATGGGATGCCAGCCCTGCAGGCAGCACCTTTACCTGCTACGCCACAGCGCCAGCCCCTACTCAATTAGTTTTAACCACAGAATGGACCTCTTTTGTCACAGAAAGGCTTCTCTGTACTATTTAGAGGAAAAATATTCCTGCCTACCCAACCAGGTCACATCCAGTGAGGTGAATCACGGACAGTCTGCGCCTGGATGATAGCACAAAGAAAAGAGACAATCGAATAACGATGTCACTGGGGACCTCTGAGAATTCAAGGTTAGCAGGGAGCAGAGGCCAACGTGCAGTAAGTTCTATTAGCAGCTAGCCTTTCAGTTCTGATGGGTAAGGGAGGAAGCAACCTTGTAATGAAAGTACAAAGTAAACAGAATCAAGTCAGGATTTGGGGGAATGACTTAGAGAAGTGAACCAGTGGAAATGGAGGAAGGAAATATTAAAAAGTAATTTGCCAAGCAAAATCACGTATGAGGGCAAGTGGGATGAAGTCAAAGGCATAGATAGGTGCAGGGTTCTTTTTAAGTTGAGAGAAAGCAATTGCACACGATGTGCACTAGGCAGAGGGCTAGTGAGGAACAAGGAGCTGAGAGACTGCAGCATCTACTTGTTGCAGCCCTGTGCCACCTAAAACCCCACCCCCTTCGGTGCCAATCCAACATGGCTGCAGGCTGGCTACCGACTTCCCCGTCATGTACCTAAGCCTCACTTACCTATCATGAATGAGATAACGTGATGACCATGTGTGTGTTGCGGCTCCACCTGGAGATGCCATGACACCTTCCCAGAGGTCTTCGCCTGCACTGACGCCCTGCCCAAACTCTGCCCAATTTGTATATCCAATCAGGGTACCACTCCCTAAAGGGTCGGCCTGAACTTTGGTAGGGGCAGTAGCCACTCTGCTCACGGAGAGAAGCTGCTCACAGTTAGGTCTGAATGTGTACTACCCTTTTAAGTAAAGCCTGCTCTCCTCCTTCTCCTTCTCCTTCTCCTTCTCCTTCTCCTTCTCCTTCTCCTTCTCCTTCTCCGCACACCTCATCTATGCATCTGCTTTGACTCCGTCTTTCACACTGGGATGAGAACTTGGGATAAGTCTAACTGGGGATCCCATACCCGACAATACCTCCACTTGTTTACTCTGCAATGTTCCCTGGCTGGGAACAAAGGCAGGAAGCAGGAGCTGGAAACTCAATCCAGGTTTCCCACTAGGTGGCGGGACCAAATTATTGGAGCCATCACCACTGCCTCCTGGGGTCTGGAAGTGGAATCAGGAGGCAGAGGTTGGTATCAAACCTATGTGTTCCAATATGGGGCATAGGCGTCTTAACTGCTAGACCACAAGCTCAGCTTAAGGATGACTTGTTTCCTTAAATTTATTTATTTATTTATTTAAAATTCAGAGTTAGAGAGAGAGAGAGAGAGATCTTCCATCTGCTGGTTCACGCCCCAGATGGCCACAATAGCCAGCACTGAGCTAGGCTGAAGCCAGGAGTCAGGAGCTTCATCCAGGTCTCCCACATGGGTGGCAGGGGCCCAAATAACTTGGACCATCTTCTGTTACTTTTCCCAGGCCATTAGCAGGGAGT